TATATAATAATTAAAATGTGTTGAAAATTAAATTAGAAAATTGTAATAAATTAATTTGAAAATTGATTATAAAAAAATAAAACAAAGTAATTTACTCTTAAGACCTTTACAGACCCACCGCATAGTACATAAATATAATCGATCATACAATTTAACCAGCAATTTTCAAATTATCGCCCACAAAGTGGCGATTGGTCACAAAATATGCTTTGAAAGTTAACAAAAAAAGTTCAGCTTGGATTAAAAATAACATTTAAAATTTAATACAATTTTATTTTAATATTATAAACAACAACAAAGAGTATGGGAAAAGGTTTAAAGTGAAAGATGAAAAATTTATTGACAGCAACTCAATGGGGAATTTGACAGGCAAAGTTGCAACTAATTAACTTTTTGATAGCAAATTAATAAAATTTATGATATTATATTAAAAAAAAAATATATACATAAATATAAAGTTAAGTATAAAAAAGAATTTGTCTTGCTTATGCATACAAACTTTTCTTTTGCCTTGCAAATGTTGCTTTAGAAAGTTTGTATACAAAGTTGCTTAGCAAATGTTGCTAGCAGTTATATTGACACAAAATTGTTTGCCAGACAACTTTTTTTTTCAAACATGTATATAAAAAGCTGCAGCCTGTTTAAATGTTGTCTTTTAATTGTTAAACATTTGTTGTTGTTATACATATGTTTGTGTGTATTGTTTGAATATTGTGCAAACTTAAATAAAAAACGTGTCCTGTCTTTATGTTTAAGGTTTTACAGTCCAATTACTATTAATCGGCATTCATTATACTCGGACCAAGAGTTAATATAATAAACTACGCCTGTTGCCAAGTCATGTTTAGATTAAAAATTTAATTTTTCAACTTGAGTTTTAACCTTTTTTGCAATTAGCGCTAAATGTGTTTGTTATAATGCAAATATTGTTGTTTTTACAATAAAAAAAAATTTAAATTTGTTGTTTATTTTTATTTAGTTTAAAAAATAATTTTTTTTATTTATTACGTCGTTATTGTTGACTTTATTTTTTGTTCGATCACAACGAAAGTAGGTCAGTTCTCTTGATGATAAGGCACTTAGAGGTATTCAAATTAATATAGATTAAATAAATGTAGACAAAAAAATTAATATAAATTTAATTGTTAACAATAATAAAATATATACGAGTAAGACACTTGACTTTTTATTTGCAGCGCTGAATTCAATTTTTTTTTATCGTATAAAAAATTAAAATAAAAATTATGAATTAGTTTATTTTCTCACGCTATGGGAATGTTTAAGCTATATAAATTATAAATTATATAAATTATAAATTATATAAATTTTAAATTTAAATACAAGGCAGTAGGTAGAAATCTAAGTAGCTACATTTCTTTTCATTATCTGGGTGAGAAAAGCAATATAAGTAAGTAGGTAATAGTTTGAATCGTCTTATTCATGATCACTTTTTTTACACAACAATTAATTGACTTGAACGATTATAATAATTAATTATATACATTGTATTGAATATTCATTTTATTGTATGTAACATGCAAAAGGCACACCTGTTTTATTTTAAACTATATTTGAGTGTGTATTTCTGTAAGCATAATTGGTTCAAAGCAATTATATTGAATTGTTATCAAATCTTAATAATAAGTTGAAAAAAAGGCGTATAATGAAATTTTTTAAAATGAAAGTTATTAAAATTAACAATCAGACTTCGTATCTACAACTACAACTTGGGGTTTGACGAAGGAACTCTTGAACCAATTTCTTTACCGCTATGAACATTATTAGTTTGGTACAAATTGGATGACAGCACCATCTCATAAGCGGAACGTTTAAGTTAAGGAGAATAGATTGAGTTAATGTATCCGGCCGTACGTCAAATATGAAACTATTCATCTTTAGCAATACCAGATAGCGCTAAACATCCCTGTAGGGATCATGTAGAATCTTAATGTCTTTGGAGAGCTTGAAGCTTTATTTTATTGAATATCGTTATCGATATTTAGAATCCCGTCATTATATTAGACTTGGGTGCTATAGTTTCAGCATACATACACCTTGCTGAAAAATACTCATTGGGGTTATGATATGATGCCATAGGTCTATTTTCCACATTATAAAATGTTTCTTTATTTAATTTATTAGTAGCAAATGTTTTAAAGTGCTTCAGTGCTCAGTGTTTTCAGTGCTCAGGTGCACTGAATCAACTCAACTAGCCTCAACATAGATAGATAAGATCATTGCTCAAAGACATAGAACTTTAAGTAAAATATATAACTTCATTAAATATAAACCAATAAGTTTTAGAAATATATATAAATTTTGTTCCATATGTGGGTACAAAAGTTTTATCTTCAAATTTAATGGTACTAATTCTCTATTTAATATAATATATGCATAATCCATGCGATTCGCTTGTAGATTGACTTTACTAGTGACTTATTTGAAATCTGAAAGGCCATATACTTCCAAGTTAATAAAGGCTATTGACAAATTTTTAGAGCAAAGTAATTCAATATTTTGTCATTAAGTAACTCTTACTATGATGGCTTGAAAAAGTTTTTAAGAGAGAGAGAGAGGACAACTATATATATTTATTGGGAGATATATCAGTCGGTTGCTAGTTAAAAAATTAATGTAAGTTATTCTGTTCTGTTCCGTATAAAGGAAGTATTTTTCATTTACGATATTATTTAATTTTTTTTCAATTGTTTATTTATCTTTATAAAAAAAGATTTATAATTGGATGATTTATTATTGATATGATGAGTCTCACGATAAAAATATTTTTTAAACGAAACTAGAAAATATAATGTAATTTTAATTCAAAATAAATTTCATGAATATTTATTTAATTGCCGCCTCAAGGAAACTTTTCGCAATTGTTAAGTAATAAAATTTATTATAAAAATATTATTTTATTTTAGAATATTTGGCAGATTGCTTAATTTTTTATGTAAATTTTATACTCCGATTAATGGACTGTGTTAAAATATTACAATTTTGGCATATTTACATTTCTATTTAATATTTTAATACACTTATATTAGTAAAACATGAATTGCATATCATGTCGGCTTTAGACACGTTTTGTTAAATATATTTATTTATAATTATACGTGTAAATTTGTTACACAAATTGTCTGATTGCATTTTAAGTAATTTGAACTATTATTAAAATACATTGCAAAAATAATATTTACAATAATAATGATAAAAGCACGCGATCGACTTTTGTAACTTATGAATTATGCATTCTGTGTATTTACTCGTATATCATATATCTGTTCAAAAAGAATCAAAACAAAACTATATATGAATTGAAATTATTATTTATTATCTCACTGGTAACTGTTGTGTATCGCTTGCACGATTATATGAACATTTGTTCTTGACCATAGACAATAATCGTTGGCTTATTGTATGTCTCTGAGATAAGATTTTTTTACGGCTTAAATTGATTTTTATTGTTAATACGTGTTGAATTATTTGTAACATATACATTAATTTTTTTATTTGGCATTATAAAGTTTTGAAATATTTTAAAATTTTTAATGAATACTTTATGTTTGGCATTCACAAGTTCTGGTCGCTTGACTTTGTCATTGGCATAAATCTGTACAAACATAACATTTCGATGTAAGTATCTCAATTCTTTCATATTTGTACCACCTCATATGGTACAGCAGTGAAATGAGGTCAAGTTGCTTAATCAAAGTGTGAAAAACGGAAATGTAGGTGTAGCACAGATATTTTCTTATATATTTTTATGTTAATTCAAACAAAAAAGTCGTTAATTTTTATTATATTAGGTAGTTAGTTAAGAAAAACAGAACGCTTATAAACTAGAAATTAAATTAAGATATGATGACGTCATAATAGTGAATTCCATATTCTAACTGCAGAATAAATCATGATAATAATTATTATATTATTATGAATCTCTTATATACATCTTAAGTAAGTACTTAAGAACTTCTTAACTTATTATCATATTTGAGTGAATCACTCAAATGAACTCAATATTGAGTAAAAATGCTTCAGATACTAGCTCGCGTTTCATCAAGCAAAGAAAGAAGAAGAAAGCAGAAAAACTCCTTAAGTAATAAAATTATTACTTTATAAAGCATAAAATATTCGTTAAAGTATTTTCAAAACTAAAAAGAACTGTTAAAAAATAGTTTTCTTATAGAGTCAAATATAGTCGTCGGGTTGATCAAACATATCACATTATCATGTAATTTGGTATCGAATGTCTTTTATCTTTTTTGAAATATGCATTTGACAATGCAGAAGATGAGTTCCTATAAACCATCCAATCCAAAACTCTTATACATCCCGGCAGGCACTTATTTAACATACTTTAAAACCATTTCTTTACTTTTTCATGAGTGATTAATTTATTGATTATAACTAAAAGTTGAAAAGTAACATTCAGTAAAAGCTTTCAAATTACCTATTAGTATTTACTTAAGTTTCCTATATATGTACATTAAAGTGAATAAACTATAACAATTTATATTATATCTTAATAATTAATCTTGAGAAAAATGTTCAATAAGTGTGGGTAAAAATTTTCAATTTAGACTACCAATAAAAAGCAAAAAAAAAAACAAAAACAGTCATCTCATGCATCTATAAATTGTTTTAAGCTAATATTTATATAATTAAATTATTCCATTAAAAATAAATTACATAAAATAGTTAAATAAGTTTTCTCAATGGTGTGAATAATTTTCATTTATATATAAATTATAATAAATTATTATTTAATGTGTTGAATATTTATATATTAGCATATAATATTTATAAGCTTATGTAGCGTCAAATTGTTTCACTCCGTTGAATATTGAAATTTTAAATAAAATTAATTATTTAAATCAAAATTAAAGAAATTGCAGTGATTGCATATATAGTATAAAAAAAATGATGTAGAAAATTTTTAAATACAATAATTATTATTTATAATAAATTCATCATATGCTTTCTACTTTTCTTTACAGTTCAGCGTTTTATTCACTATTGTTTTGACAGTAGCTTTGGTTGCTGGTCAACAATTCCTGCTTGGACAATTTCCATCCACAGTGCATAGTCAATTTAATTATAATACATTAGATGCAGTACCACAAGGCAGTAATGTCAGAGATCCAAGACAAAATAGAGGTAAGATGTTAGAAAAGTATTTAAAAGCAAAAAATTATATTCGTTCTTAAAATCAAATATGTATATATAAATTATTTTTGGATTTATATATATATATATAATTTTATTAAATTTAGGGACTTCGCACAGCAACTTAGATAGCTTTATGTACACTTTGTGGATTCAAAGTACTTCTCTGAGATGCTCATTTAAGTATTTTTGTCGTTTATGCAGAAGTATAAAATCCACTCTATTGAGTCTTATTTCTTCTTTCGATTAAAGAACAGTTTTATCATATATGCCTAAGTATCGGTCAAGTGCCTAGCCCATGTTTTATAGTCCATTTTTTTCCTTATAAAACGTATAAGTTTAATTAGACTAAATACCTAATCTTGTAAGACGAATCAATCTACAAAAGCTTGCCCAAATTTTTAAAATAATACCTTCTTTAAGTTACATGCATTATAATTAAAAAACTAAGTAATTAAAAAAGGAAATTATAAAGTTGCAAGAAATCCTGAAATTTAGATCAGCAGCGATTTTGTACTATATGCTAGAGCAGTATAGCTCTGTTCGTTTCACTTCTTCTGAATAGTTAAGAAAGAAAAGTTTATTTCTTCCTAAGCAACAGAAATGTTCTGATCCTAAAAGTAGCGAGACTTATAGGCTTTTAGATACATAACATATGAATTTCGGGTCTTTACCAAACTTCCTACGCATAAATAGAGGTATTCTGGAACTATTTATTAAAACTTTCTTTTCTATAGGATGATTTAAACTGTACGATTTTTCGCTTTGAGAGAGAGAAGAAAGGAAATCGTTTCTGTTGAATAGTGAAATTATTTTTATTAGATCAGTAAAATAATATCCATTAGGGATTATGTATTGGTTAATAATTTTAGAATTAATTATTAAATCTTTGATATCACTTTTATTTTCAGTCGTTTATATTTAATGGTTGTCAATACAATCAAAACAAATTAAATTAGTTTTTAAAATAATTTAATTCTGCTAGGTTCCAAAAAAAAGAATAAATGAAAGAAAATATTTTTTTTATTTTTTATATTAAAAAGGTTTATATTAAAACATTTTTATCTTGCAAAGGTTTTTATGGGAGGTCCTTAACAGAAAATAATTTTTCTTCTTCACCCCAACTTTTATTAAATTAAATTAAATAAACATTAGATTAAATTAATTTTAATTAAATTTCATCAATTTAAATTTTAATATTTAAAATTTATTTAATATTTAGATAAACATTAAATTAAATTTTATTTTATTTATAAATCATTTTATATATTACAAAAAGATATATAAAAAAAATATATATATCAACAGTCGAGACGTTTAAATCAATTTTATTTATTTTACATTGAAATAAGAAATTAAATGCTAATTAAATTTTTAAATTAAATTTAATAATTGCAGGACCAGTTGTGTTCCCACCTTCACCACCAAATCCACTTGATGAATCCAGCGGCGTAGTAGTCGGAGCTTCAGGTTACGGTTTTGTGCCACCACAACAAAGTAATGATTATAAAAAAAAATAAGTTATTAACACAATACAAAAAAAAATAAAATACACCTAATAATTTTAAACCAAATGAAACCAAAACTCAAAAAAACTTAAGACAACAGAGAAGAGAAGCTTAATTGGTGCAAAATAGCTTTTGTTTTTGTTTGTATTTAAATGTTTACCTCAATATTTGCACAAATTATTTAGTTAGTATATATTTAAAATAAGTTTTTATTTAAAAAGAAAATCTATTTATTATTATAATATAATAATATTAAATATTAAATATTAATGATTTTATATAATTTCACAGATAATGGTGTTTTTGGTTAAGCTTGTAATTCAATACATGAGACAGATACCAAATACATACTAATTATAACTCAGGCATTGCTTTAAGAAGAACCACACATACACACACACACAATAGATAATTACATTAAATTAAAATCAGAGCTAAACTTGGATTGAAGCTTAATTAATTACAAAACGGAAATGGCCGCCATATTAACAGAAAAATATTTTTACATTGCCGAATATTTCAATGAAGAATTCAATTAAATTGAAGTAGAATTGCTTACTAAAAAAACGCAACTAATTACTTAAATCAACACATAAAAAATTAATTAAAAGCAAAGCCATAAATTAATAATATTTCATTAATTAAACAATTGAAGTCATAACACTAAAACGCACATTTTTTATTTTATTTTTTATTTTCATTTTGTTTAAATATTTTTCAGTTTATTTAAAAATTCATATTAAGCAATAAATTTGTTTATTTATTTTTATTTAATTGAAATTCATTTTTTTAATTGGTTTTAATATAAGCATTCAAAATAATTATATTACATTTTTATTGCACTAAAATTGGATTTTCACTTTCAAATTTTTATTTTTTATTCATATAGTTTATAATTGGCATTCAGTTTTTTGCTTAAATTTATTATAATTTAAAATTAATCATCAATACAAAATTATCACCCAGTTATTATAACTGAAAATGGTTTTCATTTATTCATTATTTTATTAAATTCGTTACTTAATAAAAAGCCATGGCTTATTACATAAAGTAGAATTAAATTATATATTGCATTAATGTTTTTTAGCTTCCGTAAATTTATTATTATTTTTTTTTGTAAAACAAATTTATTATTTTTTCTAATAAATTTGGGTTTTTATTAAAATTTTTATTAAATTTTTAAGTTTCAAAATATTTTTTATTTCATTAATTTCAATTTATAATTTTTATTTATAAGATATTTAAAATAATTTCTAAATTTTATATTTTGTTCGTTTTAAATTTTTATTTTGTATTTAAGTTTTTTAATTAAATGAAATTATTTGATTTTATGTTTAATTTTGTTTTTTTTTTTATTATTAAAAAAAATTGGTGTATTTAATTAAGTTTAAAGCTTTTAATTTTATTTTCAAAAAAAATTTATATGTTAATAGCAACTTTTTTGTTTTATTTTTTTATTTCTTTTTAAATAATTTGTAAATCAGTTTTTAATTGATTATAAATTAATTTCTTTAGTTTTAATTTTACAAAATTTTTATTTTTAAGTTTTTTAAGTTCACTTTTAATTTCAACAAATTGGAATTTATATTTTAAAATAAATTATTTTATGTTAATTTCTAAATTTTATCTAATGTTATTATTAGTAAATAAAAGCAATAAATATATATGTATACAAAAAAATTAATTATTTTGTATTTTTATTTGACACGATTTTTTTTCTGCACTGCTTAATAAATTAATAAACTAAACATTTTATTTGATTCTTTCTAATATTATTTAAGAATTTATTATTTAATAATATCTCTGAGAAGATGAAAAATATTGTGGGAATGTTCTGATTAACATGAAGCAATTATAGGTACTGGGTGTGTTATTAAAAGTATTATTAATATAAAATGAAATATAATTTTTCACACTAAGATTTAGGTGAAACTTATATCTGTATAAGTAAAAGTGCTGACTCCAATCAATAAATAACTTTAAAAAGCTCCTCGTAGTTTTTTCTCTAAATTTAATTTAAGACTAAATGCATGCACAATATAGAAGCACAAATTAATTAATTAATTAATTATTAATTCTAATTAATTTTATTTTTTTGCAACAATGGAATGGTTAAAAGGAATGGTTACAATGTTTTATGAGAATATATATATATTTTTTTTTGCAATTTTTTAGCGGAGTTCAAAGATACTGAATCAGTATTATAAGTGAAGTATATTGATTACAATTGAATAAAATTCATTGATATTGATTAATACGTCAGTTATTTATTTTTTAACTCAGGTAAAAAATAGAAAAAGTAATTTTAGAAATAATTAAAATAATATTTACATATATTTCAACTTTATTTTTAAACATTTATGTACAATGGATTATATTTATACTGAGTTTTTCTTTATTGTTTGATTGGGGTTCATCAATATTGAAAAAAATAAAATAATGTAGGGATTCCACAATAATGCCTCTTAGAGATATTAATATTGTGATGGAGATGCTTATAAGTCTTTGTTGATATGAAAACATGTCCAGTAGGAAATTGTTTTAGATCTTTATCATTATTATTTATCATTATCTAGATCATGTGCAGCGTATCTTGAGAATAAAATCTGATTTGAATTACTTACTTAGTTCGTCATTACAGACGTAAGTCCTCTTTGGCTGCGTCGAGTAGATTTCGCCAGCCAGTCCGATCAGTGGCTTGCTGTCGCCAGTTGATAGTACCGAGCGCCCTCAAATCGCTGTTCAATTGGTGCTTCCACCAAAGATGTGGGTGTCCTCTACCGTATTTTTTAGCAACTGCTACCGAATCAAATGCCATTCTGTTGCAACATTTTCCTCCATTCACATGACAACACCAAGTCAGCAAATGCACTGAATTTTTATACACTTAACCATGTCAATGTCGCGATATTGCTTATACAGCTGATCGTATTATATAATTAGATACTCGTGGGTAACGCATAAGGGATTACCTAATTTAAACATAAAAATAAGCATTCTCGGTTTAAATTTTACAGGATTCAATACAAACCACTTGCGGTTCTAAAATTATTCAAGAATAATTAAACTAGTAGCTGTTTCTAAAGATTAGTGATGATAAATATTTCGGATAATGTTTCCAAAAATGACTAGTGATGGGTATTTGACACTATTCGAAACAGTTCAAGAATTCATTTGATTAAAAATTAAATTTTTCAATTCGAAAATTTCCTCAATACTATCCCCTTTTCTATAAGAAATAAAGTTCTTGCTATAGGACTTACAAATTTTAATTTACTTGCTGATAAAATCATTATTATAATAATCTAGACTATGTGTTATGTACAAAAAACTGTCAGAACTTTGAGTATTAAAACCAAAAGTTGAGCTATATGGTGTTTTTCGAACTTTACGATGAAATCTTTATTATAAAAATCTAAACTATTTATACAAAAAGTAACGGATATAACTTAACTAATTCAATTATTCTACAGCTGGTTTATGATTTCGTTCTAATATTACAAAACAAGTAAATTTGTTAATAAAAACTTTCATAGCAAAATTAATAAACTTCAGAAAAATGTGTGAACATAAAAGTGAAGTAAGGCTTTGAGGCAGTTGATTCTTAAGGGCGCTGACTCTGAGTGTCAAAATCGGCAGGGCACGAGTGCAATTCCTGGTACTTGCAGTCTCAAAAAATAATTATTTACGAATAATTAAATACAAGAATTATTTTCAAGACCACTGATGATGGGTATTAGACAATACTCGAAACAGCTGTATGGTTAGCTAAAAATTCAATTAATTAAAATAATAGAAAAAGAATAATAGAAAATAATAAAAAAATAATTTTTGTTGTTGTAGTTCACTACCTTTCGAAAAAAACGTCTTTATGATATAACATATTTGAGATCTTTTTTAAACTATTCATATAAAAAGTTACCAATACCAGATATTCAAATATACAATTTTATCTTAATAATTATTTAATTAAGCTACAAAATGTATTCCATAATATAAAATCTATTCGATTAAAACTATGAAAAAATATTGCTACCAAATTAACATGACGACAAATGCAAAAATGCAGTCTGAAATCCAATTGAGATGTTGCAGTTTAAGATGCAAATGCCTCAGCATTACCAAATGCAGTTTACAGGTGGACACGAAGCGTTTGTTCAATTCGAGCACGAATGCAGCACAGCAGCGAAAATTTGCTAGCATTCGGAGTATGTCTAGGCTAAGAAATTAGAGCAGGCAAAATGTAAGCCACATAACCGCAATCTGCATACGTACAAACAAAAGCAAACTGTAAGATACATTTATGAATGCAAATAGAGATACACGTATGTGAAGACATGAATAGAGGGAAATACGAAAACAGAAATCTATTTAGCAACCGCTTCACGTAATACTCGTACATAATTAAAAGAAAAAACTTTTTCGAGAAAATTAAGGCAGAGTGAAAAATGCGCAAACTCATGCGTGCATTAAATGTGCACAGTGCACTCTAAGTAAATACTGTAGTTTTTCCTAAGTAAATAAGGGAAAATTATTTAATTTCATGCTATTTACATAATATGACAGTTTAGCCGCAAGTTTCTTGGCGGCAGTTACAATGTTGATTGCGTTGATTCGTAAAGATTTTCCACAACCTAATCGTGTCGATAGTGAGAGTACAGATAAAAAGATACAATTTGCGGGTGGCAGTAATTGCAGTTGCTGTACACCAAACATTGTGCAATTGTAATCAACATGTTGTTTTCTATTTTCTGTTTGTTGTTTATTTGTATATTTGTATATTTGTTGTTTTTTTTGCCTATCAAGGTAAACAGTAAACTAAGTGTGGTGGTGAAGTACCACATACAAAAGATTAAGACCACACTTTAGATACAATTTTCTATATGTAATATGTAAGAGCTATTGCTGGTTGAAGCGATATTGAAACTAAACACAGCAATGCCTCATATAATTCCCACAATTTATGCTAAGTCATTAATATAAATAAATGCAGCATTTATTGTATAAATATTATTATAAATATTTTGCAATGCCAATTTTTTATGCTGACTAGTGCAAGCAAGCCAAGAGTATGCTGTAATAATTTAACCTTTTAATTTGTAGTAAATAAGATAAACTGCTCTAAATAAGAGAAAAATTACAAAAAGTAGTTTAATATTTTAAATTCATTTTCATATTGAAATGTTGAAGGTTGGCAATGATTTAATTGTGACTAAATTCAAATAACGAACAAATCCACTGTGATGTTTCCACAACAAAATTGAGTTGCAGTCACAAATGTCATGTTTCTGATTTGTTGATTGTTTTGTATTAGAATTATGTATTAAGCATTGTCATTATTTCACTTTAATCAACTCTAAAGCAATAAAATAATTTGTCTTACTAAGTCTTTGGGGTGTGATTCTCATATTAAGGCTACATATCAAGACTTCAGAGTTTTTG